CCGGAATGGGCTTTTTGTAGCTGTCTGTCTGGCAGTCAGTCATTCGGCGCAATTGTTTCATTCATGGACCCGCCAAAAAAGGCAAGAGGCGTTTATCATCATCCGAGACTCGCCGCGTCTCTTTCTTTTCCTCTGCTGGCCTCTCTTTCTGCCGCTGCGTAGGCTTTTGTATGTGTGTATGTGTGCGAGTGTGTGTGTGAGCAAAACAAACCATAAATGTGCGTGGAAGACGAAAGACGAAAAAGAAACGAGAGAAACGAAGTTTTTGTCAAAGGGTCGAGACCCCCCTCTGTCCCCACCTTAACCATATTAACCCCCCTTAGCCCCCTTAGCCTTCTTCTGGCCATAAGTCAATGTCAATGGCACGCACACATACAAAGACACACACACACACACTAGTGTATATTTGGTTTTGGGGACAGTCGAAAAAGTTGTCGTGTTGACTTTCTGGGCTGATTTTCCACGTTCAATGGGACCTTGACATGCCATGTTTGGCCAAAAATTTGTTATTTGGTGTTTATGGCGGCGTTTAAACGCTCCAGGCTTCCATTCACTTTAGATCTGCAAGAAGAGAGATGGCATAGATTGCGGGGAATACTTGAAACTGGTTTCCGAACTGCAGCCTTTCGTCACTCACACTCACACACAGATACTCACCCATACAGAGGCCCTGCACTGCAGCGATAAAAAGATACAAAATGCAAACCAGTTCCGCGACGAGATGAGATTCAACTGATAAACAAAATCAAAAACGGAACTAATTTCGGTTATAAAAATTAAATTAATCAATAAAACTGAACACTGGGACACACGAATTTAGCACGATTTTCAGGAGATTCACTTTGATAGTTGCAGTTTTATTTTTAGCTGATGGCTTTTTTGCGGTTGTTTGCTTTCCAACGTTTTGCGTTCATTTGAAGCCGTTGCCCGACGATTTCTTGCACGCCGCTCGGTCTCTCAAAACGCCGGCAGCGACGCTGGCCGCGGCGCTCGCAGCGCTGCCCCTGTATCTGTGCGTATCTCACAGATATCGTATAGCCCCCTGTATAGGCGAGTATCTGTGTGAGGAGTATCTGTGAGGGTTTTTTTCCTTCGTTCGTTGCAGCCTATGTATTGGTGTACCGTTCATGCGCAACTCACACGCACGTGCTTTGAAATTTCCCTTGGCCACCAACACTCCCGAAATCTAACCACTTTGGTACTTTTTTTCTGGCCAAGCCAGTTAAGGCCCACTGAATCGAAATTGGGAAATTTCGAAATATAACCATCGAACGAAATATCCCCGCCACGTGCTTCGACCTTTTGTTTTGCTTTTGTGCTTTTCCGTCTGCAAAAAAAAGCTCGCCCTTCCACAGCTGCTTTAGCTTTCCGCTTGCCGGTGGAGTTTCGGTGTGCGTAAGTACATAACCCCGCCCACTTTTCCGAGCGGGTATCCAATCCATTTATGAGCCTCCTTCGCTGTTGTTGCAATTAACGACCATTTGAATTATATTTGCGCTCGTAAACTTTACAAGAACTCTTCGCCGGGGCAGCCCCGAAAAAATCAGCAGTACTGGGAGGCTGCTCGATGGCCTTTTCACATTTTCCCCATTCATTTCGAACGTAGACAGCAGAAATTTTTACGACTTTTCTGCACAATGCGCAAATACAACGACAATGGACCAGTCCCCCTCCTCATCATCCCAACCAATCCATGCCCCTTCACCTTCGCTTTCCACTGTGACTTTGGATCGGAACTGGCCCTGGGGATTTTATTGTGGGTTTTCTCATTTCATAAATCGTTTGTTGATAACACTTTTCGGCACTCGACTTATATTAAAAATTCTCGGGAAATAGTTGGAAGGCCTTTATGAGGTCAGCCAAGTATTAAGATTTGGTTAAGATGCATGGAATTTGTCTTAGTATTTGATTTATTTATATATTACTTTTTACTACTATATGTTCATGTTAAACAAAGTTATTATGATAAGATTTATGTTAAATAATATTTATTAAAGGTGAAATTAGTTACAAAAGTTCATACATTAACTATGTAATATAAAGTTTTAGTGGCAAAAATTCATTCATTTTTATTTTTCAAGCCCTTCAGCAGTATAATTTTTCATGATGTAGCCTTTGATTTCATCTATATAAGCTATGTCCTTAAAAATGTGCTTTAAATCTGAAAAATATTACTTTATTCTAAAGAAAAAAACTGATTCTTTTGAAATTGATTAATGTTAAAAGTACTCTCTTATGGGTTTTGATGGTTCACCATTTCTTGTCAAGTCTAAACATTAAAATGTGATTTTCCACTTAAATCCATTTTATCTTCAAGTTAATTAGAAAAGTATAAATCCACTATTTAAGCAGACACTAGTAACTTAGTCCTAATCCGAACCAACTCATCTTGTTGTCTTTAAAAACCCGTTTCTAAACGCATTGCCCCAACTAATTGCAGAAACTATTTGCTTGGCATTCTAGAGAACTGCAATATGGAATTTTCAGATAATTGTTGTCTTAGTATGGGTGCCCGCTGTTCACCCCTCAGTAGATAATTAACAACCCTTAGCTCTGTGTTCCCTCTTTGCACCCTTACCTCAGTATCTGAATGTTAGTGTGTGTGTGTGTTTGTGTTTGTGTGCATCGATGCGCTTACCCCTAATTGCAATGCCATAAAAAAGTGCAATTCAAGCGAAGGACAACCACCGAAGCAGAAATGCGAGAGGTGAGCGCAGCGGAGGAAGGCTCTTGGCATTTTGCCATTACATTGCAACCATGATTACGATTAGAACGGGCATTGTCTTGCCACCAGCCAGCAAGGACCAGCAAGAAAAAGGACCCAGGACCTCTGCACTCTCTACTGAGAGCCAAAACTATCAGCAGCAGCAAGAAGTGATATATAAAACAGAGGGTTGGGGTTGGATCAAATTATGCGAAACTGCATTTTCACTTTTCGCATCGCCAAGCCAGGGCCATTTGCACCATACGGCCAACTTACGGAGATGGCCAAGCTGCAGCTGCTCTTCGTTTGCCTTGGCTATAAGTGTCCTGGCTGGCAAAAAGCATCCTTTCCTGCATGCAAATTCCCTCGTCTTGGCTATATCGAAAAATCTCAAGAAGTGCAGCCAATCAACTGGAAATTGCCAAGCTTCGAGTTAAGTGCGCTGCCAGCTCCCCGCCGCCCTCAGGCATTAGAATTGATAACAGATACAACAGCAGCAACATCAGACGCAGCTGCAGCATCAACAGCAAATTGGAAAAGAGCAGCAGCAACTTTAGACAATGCAACATTAAACATAAGAGCAGGAACTGGAGAAAGAGATTCTGCAGCAACTTATAAGGAGGGTCTTGAAGTTAGGCTTGAATTTAGCAACTTTAGAGCTTAAAATAGCAACTAAAAAAAGAAAACTATCAGAACAAAATTTTGATATAACCAGCAACATCAACTCAAACCAGAAGCTTTAACTTCCAATTCAGCTGAACTAACAGGAGGACAACTTTCAGCAATCTTATCACAACAAGCCGCCAAAACTCTGCATAACTCCAGAAGCACCATCAACTTGAAAATCACCAAACAATGCCAGCAGCAACATCACAAAGGCAGAAAAACAATAGTACTCCAAACACCAGAGCAATATCAGCAGAAGCTGCAGCAAAGTTAGCAACAGAAGGCAAGGCGGCAGCAACAGCAACATCACTTGATGTTTGAACTGCAAGCAGATAAGCAACATCATCGAAAACTTAGGTTAAACCAGCAACAAAAGACACGGCAGCAACAATGGGCAATTTAAAAACAGAAACTACAACAGCAACACAGCAACGGCAACTACAACAGCAACAGCTACACCAGCAACATCAAGACCCGACAGCAACATCAGCAATCGCGACGGCAAAAGCGGGCGTTAAGCGGTGCGAGCGGACCACCGTCGCCCGACTGTCGGCGGTTTCTTGGAGCTAGTGCTTTTCGGGGGCGCATGGGCGTGGCACTGGGGAGCAGCTTATAGAGTGCACCCTGTTGCGCACACGGCCACAAGATCTCTCTGATCTCCTCGCACGCCAGCCAAGTCACTTTGAGTGCAAGCGAGAGAAGGCTAGAGCAGCCATTTTGGTGGGAGCGAGATGGCGAGCAGGGCAGCGCAGGCGTCGACGGCGACGGCAACGTCAACAGCGACTGCAGCTTATGGCGTCACCGCTGCTGCTGCTGAGCGGTCAGCGTTGGAGACTTTTTCGCGGGATGTGTGTGCCGGAATCTTGGAGCTGCAGAGAAAACTACAGAAAAAACTGCGAGCGGTCGCCAGGGAGAACTCAATCCACTGTTGAGCGAAAACGCTTCGAGTGAAACTCGGAGCCAGTGCCCCGGGGAAAAGCGGCTCCACGAAAAGCACAAACCTGCAACACACTGTTGGAATTGATTTTCCAAACTCGACCTCTTCGCTGTTTTTTGTTATTAAAGTGGAAAAAACGAATTTCAACGGGGGACTTGTCGTTGGGCACACCTGACGACCTGGCAAATGGCAGCTGGTTTGGCCAGAATTGGGTTCAATTAGTTGCCACCAAATGGCAGCCATGTTCGGGCTGGAAAGTCTGAAATTCCCATTCGAAAAGCACAAAACCTAAATTATTTCAGGGCAAGATTCCTTTAAGCGGAACGGAGTGTAAATTATTAATTGTGGGCTATTCGGCAAAGGCAATTCGGAAATTTACAGCCTTACAGAAATGCATTCGGCGGTCGCTTTATTAATTTGAAACAATTTTAATTAGTTGGGGAATTGAATGAATAGTTTTTCTCTGGTGAATAATAAGGGGAGTCCATGATATTTAAATATATTTTCTTGATTTATACAGATTTACCCAAATAATCTTTAAACTTTGAAATATTTCAAACTATTTCACTGCAGCCCGTAGGCGTATCTAAATTCCAATTAATATTTTAACCCATCTTAACCAAATCTGAAATCCAATTATCTTAGTTAAAAATCAAACTGATTTGACCATCTATTCCTCTCTTCTCTTTCCAGATCTGCGTCTTCGCGTGTGTCTGTGTGTGTTTTTATAACATTAGTGGATTACGCCTATAAAAACTACACCTCACCGCGGAGCCAGCCGAGGGCCCCAGAGCCGCAACAAAGGGTTGGTATACGAATTTAAATATTTGCCTTTTACTGCCATTTGATATTAATGCGAAGAAGAGCGGAGCCGGAGATTAAATCAAAGATGCATAAATCAGGCAGCATTTTGAATAAATTCGCTTTATGGCTCGCCCAGCCACCGAAGTCGTAAAGTCTTTTGTCTAACGGGGGAACGCGAAAGCCAAAACCTAATTGCATAATGATTTAATCCCGATCAGGGGCTCCGGTGCATGAATCGATCATAATACCGCTCGGACAATCCATTAAAATTTCTCGCATAATCGCTTTAAAAAGCCATTAACATGGCCATAAGTATGAGCCGTCGGGGATTTAAGCCGAAAAACCGAAACTCGAGTGCCAGAGTTTTGGGTTTTCAAGCTCAACATTGGCGGCCATTAAAGGGGAATTCTTCACAAAAGTAAGCATTAAAGTTTACGAGGCACTGGCTTTGTTTTCGCTTTTGTTGGTCTCGATTTTATGATTTAATTTGGCAACTGCTCTGCGAATGGCTACAAAATGGTCACTCGAACAGCAATGGTGACCGTATAAATATGATTCCCAGTGACCGCCGCTGCACTGTCGCCCAGAAATTGCACGATTTGTGCAGTTTTCATTGCGATTCGATTATGGATGTGGCCATAAAGTGTATTCGTTATTGCCATTAGTCGCTCGTAAATTGGCTAACGAATGTGTCGTCTCGACCCCGGTCGAATATGCTCCCTTCCCTTTTCGCACATCAACCACCATCCCCTTCGCCCCACCTGAGGCGGCCCACCTTGCCGCCAAAAGTTGCAAAAGTTCAGACCACACGATTGGCGGAGCCTTCACTCGAATATCCACCAGAATCCACCGCATCCAAGAAGATACTGACAAAGACGTTATTCCAGTTTTTAATCTGCTCAATTGGTCGGCGGCGGGGTTTCGGTCCGGGTGGATCCGACATCGCCATCGGATTGCGAAGGCGAGGTAATTAATATATTGCATTAAATGCTCGTAATCACGCATTTTTATTGGGGATCTCGAGATCTCTCACACGAAAGCAACAACAGTTGGACATGTCCGTCCACATGGCATTAGGGCGATGCACTGTTCATGGATATACGAGGTGTGTTCAAAAAGTAAGGTGACTTTTCAAATTTCTCGGGCAACATATTTTCGATTATCGATTTTTTTGTTTTGTTATATTGGTACACTCTTCCCTAACATCTGTACCAAGTTTCAATGGAACATCATCTTTTGTTTGGTTGTGAGAGGCGTAGAGTTACAAGTTGTTTTGCGAGCTCGGCGATTTTTTGCTATCGAAAAATATGGATCAAAGGATTTGCATCAAATTTTGTGTAAAAAAAAAAAAAATGTATACCCATGATTCGTCACCAGTTATGACCCTTTTGAGTAAATCTGGGTCGTCGTTGACGTCATTCAACAGCTCTTGAGCGATGCTCATGCGACGGTTCTTTTGGTCAAAATTCAGCAATTTCGGAACAAACTTCGCTGACACACGACTCATACCCAAAACGTTTGAAAAAATTTCATGGCACGAGCCAAGCGATATACCGACATCTTCAGCAACTTCTCTGATAGTGATTCGACGATTTTCCAAAACAATTTTCGTCACTGCTTGAACGTTTTCATCAGTTGTTGACGTGCTTGGGCGTCCAGAGCGAGGCTGGTCATTGGCATCTTCCCGGCCATCTTGGAAGAGTTTGTACCACTTGTACACATTTTTTTTACTCAGAACAGTTTCACCGTATGCCACTGTCAACATTTCAAGTGTTTCAGAGCACTTAATTTTATTTTTTACACAAAATTTGATGCAAATCCTTTGATCCATATTTTTCGATAGCAAAAAATCGCCGAGCTCGCAAAACAACTTGTAACTCTACGCCTCTCACAACCAAACAAAAGATGATGTTCCATTGAAACTTGGTACAGATGTTAGGGAAGAGTGTACCAATATAACAAAACAAAAAAATCGATAATCGAAAATATGTTGCCCGAGAAATTTGAAAAGTCACCTTACTTTTTGAACACACCTCGTACATAGCTAAGAGTTGGGTAACCAAATAATGGTCTTTGCCGATTATATCATATAGGTTGCCTTTTTGATTCATTCACTAACAGATTTAACAGAAAAGTATGAGAGATTTCAGTATCTTGAAGGTTGTAGCATCATTTAAAATTCTTAAAATGAAATCTCTCATCCATTACCCACGAGTGACCCTACTGGCCACTGATTATCTCCATGCATTAGCCGCACCTGCGTCATTTAAGCCGGGCCCAAAGCACTCTGAAAGCTTGTAATCCGATCGAGAAACATTCAAAATATTAAATAAATTATAAATGCGAACAATCGAGCACTAAAAGCATTTCCAGAAATTGAATATTTTGGCTGACAGGTTGAGGATAACGTGCCACCCCAAAGGCAGTACTTTATACATTTTACAAGTTTCGCATGCTATACAGGGGCTAATTCCTATACTTGGAATTTAAATATATATAATTCAGGGGGATTATGACTGAGAATCGCCTCCACAAATCGTCATCTGCAATGGAGGCTTATCGTTAAACGTACATAATGTGCTTTATTGTCACTTAAGTACAGATTTAAATAATTTTATGACTTCATTTCATTTGTGGACGCTCGTCCAGCCCAGTCGGCGATCGTAGTCGCTGTCGCAGGTCTATCTCAGTTCAGCGGAGAGTTCGAGTATAGCACAAAAACAGCCATCTATATAAATAATAATCGCTCATTATAAGTAATCAATGACATTTGCACCCGCATATGAGCTCATTACGCTCCGTAATTACAGTATTATTATTTACTGCAAAGGCGAGCTGAACAGTCGAACTGATAGTCGATGAAGGAACTGTAGGATTTATGGTTTTTCAGTTATTTATTCCAAGAGACCAGACACTGGCCATTTATATAATGTATTGCCACATAATTGTCGAAAAATGTGACTTCATCTGAACTTAGATTAGTGGGTAGTTTTTTGTTACTAAGAACTGGTTGGAAGGGCTTCCTATGTAGTTTTTAATCAACTAACAAAGCTTATGGCATAGCATAGAATATTCATCTGACCCATTAAGAGTCCTTCTAAGAACACCTTCTACCAAATGACCTGCCTCTAATATGGACACTTTAAAATAATTAAGCCACTTGCCTATGCTTGAATGGTGAGAGAGCATAAACTTTTTTTCCCTCGGGTGTTTTGTTTAGTTTTCCCCACTCGAAAGAGAGGAAAACTCAACGAACTAATTTGCGTTAATTGCTCTTCGCAGCGCCACTACACAATGGAGCTTCAAGTGGTAATTGCCGGCATTTCCATTACAAAGGCATAACAGTATCAATATGCCAGGCATTTGCATAAATTGTCCCCCCTCGTGGAACGACGATCGCTGGAATGTCGAGCAAGTCAAATAAATTTGCTCACCGAACGCAGACTTGACTAGAAAATCGTTAGTCGAAGTGCGACAGAAATGGACAGTTAAATAAATCGAAAGATGTCAGCGAGACAAGAGCCAGGCGAACTTGAAGCCAAAACATGGTCAGGGACTTGGAATTGGACTCAGACGCGGACATGCACTCCCATGCAGAGAGGGAAAAATGTGGTTATTTATGAATATAAATATAATAAAGTTATAAAATGGAAGGTTTCTTAAGGTAAACACTGCATATAAGATCTAAAAATCACTTTAAAATGGATTACCTTTCCCAATTTTAATAGAAAACATACCAAAGTAGTCCCTTTACGAACTTAGGGTAAACTTTGATCAATAATAATTAACAATTAACAAGTTAATGTTATATTTCCCTTAATATATGATTAGGACTGCTCTTCAGCATGAGTTAAAGGGAGTTATTAACTTATATCCAAAATAAAAATGACGTTTCTCTCTGTGCAGTCGCATTGTGGCATTCTCGAGTTTCGGATTGATATGCAGAACAGCGACTCGCGTGACAGTCGAACCGCGGAATGGCTTTGCGGTGCAGGGTGTGGAGTGGTGCGTTGCGGTGTAGTGGTGCAGAGTGGTTGCGGTGGGTGGTGGTGCGAGCCGTGGGCGTGGGCGAGTTAGTTTGTTGGCATTTCGCACGCATCCTTCATAAATTAACGAGATTTACGAGCCGGGGACTTAGATTCGCTAGAATAGCGACTTGAAATTGCGGCGGGGACATGGATATGATGTGGAATCGATACTAAATTATCCTCTTTGGCGACAAACTTCCTTCTATTCAGGTCTCCTCCCTGGCTCCATCTCTCTTCTGGCTCTCGATGGGGACACACCCAGAAAATGCCATATCCCTCTCTCGCTCTGCGCTCAACCATCTCTCTCGCACGCTCATTATGCGCACTCGTTTTTGGGAGTCAAAAAATCGATGGAATATGCAAAATATTGTTTGAAAACCGGGGAGATCCGCCTAAGTCAACAGGGAGAACAGGGCTAACCCCCGAGACCATTCCAGAAACTCTTTTCGAATGGAATGTAAATTTGAACAGCGTTTTCTTTGTTTTCTCTGTCGCAAAAGGCTTTCTGGGTTTGTTATTCTAAAATGCTTTTTCGCTCTGCGTATCTTTGGGTCCAGTCCCAGTCTTAGGCCCTGGCCCCACCAAGTATTGCCTAATGTAATCCGGCTGGTATCTGTATCCCACAGATATGAATATACACAGAGACCAGAGACCAGAGACCACTCAGCCCCAGCCTCAGACTCAAAGACTGGGTTTCAATTTCGGGTTTTTCAATCGGGCCTCTAATGCCCAAGGTGGTCAAAGTTGTCCATTTTCAGATTTTAATCGCTGGAATTTGTTTTAAGGCATCGAAATTTATGTGACAGCCCAAATTTTGAGTGTGACACTTTAGAAACGTTTTTATGGTTTATTAAAAAAATATCCGATTGAGCTCCGATCCCGCATCAGCTCGTTTCGAATGCAAAGCGTAAACTAGTTTTTAATTAAAATCTAATTCGCTGACTCCCATGGCCCATCGATGGGAATAAACTTG